GAGAGAGAGAGAGAGAGAGAGACAGAGTTTTCCAGCCATGCACGCAGAGAGACAGAGAGGGGCTACTTCCATCGATAGGATGAGCAAAATCGGAGAAGAAGAAGCAGCAGCGAAGAAGAAGAAGAAGAAGAAGAAGCTCTCTCTCTCTCTCTCTCTCGCCCCCCAACTGAGTCCCTTCCCTTGTCGATGGCGGGCCGTTGAAGGGCGACGGCAGAAGCGCGTCGAAGGCCGGTGGAGCGACACTATGACAGGGCAGGGAATGGAGGGACGTCGGGGGTACAGCTTGAGTATGTGGGAGGGAACGGCGGCCGGTAGTTCCCGCCCTCATCGATTTGAGATTGCGGCCATCTGGGCCGTCAATCTTTGAGACCGACGATCAAGATCGGGCCCAATTTCAAATCGGTGAAATCGGGCCTACCAGCCCCCTTTTTTTTTTTTCGTGGTCTACACAGTCTAGCATGGGGGCAAAAAGGGCCCCAGTGCCGAAAAAAAAGTGATGCCCTGGGGGCGCCCGGTGGCCAACCGGGCCCGACACCCGGCCAGGCGGCTCGGTCCCCCCCCCCGGGCGACGACCAGGCCGCCGGGCGGCCCAGGGACCAGCCTAGAAAAAAAGATCGCGCCGCTGTAACTGCATCGAGGAGGGCACACACTCACACAAACTCAAAGTTCTGTATCCAGCTGCTGCTTTTCTTTTTTTATTTCTTTTTTTTTTGCTGGTTTTCGAAACGTAGTGACATGCTCTCCGTGACGCTATAATTTCCCCACTGAGGGTGCAGTCTCACAAGCACCCCATGTTTATTATCCAACTGCTTGCACGTCCATATCATATATGCGTCGCATCACATGCGCCGCAATAGCTCACTTGCACATGATGCGGCGTCAGTATGAATAATAGGGTCAGTTAAAAAATTTAAAGAAGGGCAGGCTGCGTTGCCCTTCCCTTCTGAAAATTGTAAGTGCACAAATAAAATAAATTTGGGGCCACATCGTACTCATCGGATCTAGTCTCTCTTCCAAAGCGCCCCCCCCCCCCCCCCCCCCCCCCCAGCTGAGACTTAGCAGGGGTCCCATTTCTTTGAAAGATGTTCATCGAACTGGTGGAGGGACAGGAGCGGGCCAGCAATATATTCTGGATTCAAATTCAGGTCTGTATTTGATCAGTTATGGGTTATATATCCACTAACTTACAACTAACACTACAGTTTTTTTTTTTTTTCAAATTTAGAGAACGGCAGTATTGAGATATATCCACTACCACTACAGTAGGTCTCAATTTTTTTTTGTTTTTCCTTTCCTTACATGCAGTGGCCCTAAGGGCCTTGCTCCACTCGCCACCACTTGCACAAAAGACAAAACATATGGCGGCATGTATGGTTCCTGTTTCTGGGAGAAGATTCATTCTACTTTAACATTTGCCGAGTAGTGGAGTGCAGCCCTAAAAACCACATGCCGAGTTTGTAACCCATAACTGCTGAAACGTGGACCTGAATTCGAAGCTACACCCGGCTTCAGCCTCCTGATGAGTGGGTCGGTGAAACTCCGAGGAAACAGTTTGTCACAGGCCCCCTCGTTTGGTTTGTCCTATTCTCCCTCCTCCCTCTGTGCCTACGGTTTACCGGGCAGCTCTGTTGGACTATATATGTATCTGGCCTGCTACTGCCTTAATATACGTCCAGCAACTACCCTTGTCTTGCCTTCTGGCAGGGTCCTTTCGAAGTACTGGCGGGGTTTTCCTGAATAATGTGAAAGGGCTCTCCTCTCTCTCCCTCTCTCTCTCTCTCTCTCTCTCTCTCGTGTGTACACACGTCACGGTCTCCGTCCCCCCCCTCCCCCCGCCGAGCATCAGCGATCAGCGCAGCGCATCTCACATATGTGCCGCAAGTATGGTCCATATCCTTGTTGCCCCATTTCATTTTATTTTTCCTTGTTGCTCCATTTCATTTTATTTTATTTTTCAGCTTTTTTTTTCCGTTGTTCATTTCGGAAGAGTACCAAAACAGAAAATACAATTGGACCCAGGCTTGGCAGAAATTCAGGGTCGGTCAAAATTCAGGGTCGGTCAAAATTCAGGGCCGGTAAAAACAGGATCGGAGGCAGTGGTGGTTTAAGGGGAAAAAAAAATAACAACAATACACTTGTCAATGTTGTCATGTCAATTCTTTGCATACAAGTGGCGGCAGGCACCGAGTGGCAGCAGGAAATAGATAGAGAGGTGCTCAAATTTTGGGCCCTGCTGCACTACACGAAATATGCAAAATTGAGAATGCATTTTCCTGTAGAACATGGAAAGATACTGCGGTCACCATAGCTTTTGTCTTCTTCGTATTTTGGCGAGTTGCGCGGCGACGCCCTTTGCCAATATGGCTCTGTTCCGTGTCCACATTCGTAATCTGTTGCTCTGTTGTCACGCTTCTCCGCTGTACTCGTCAGCATTTTTTTTTTTTTTAACTAGGCTATATTCTTCTCTCATACCTTTCATCATCTTTCAAATTCTTTCACTTCACCTTCACTACCTACCTACCTACCCCTACAGCAACTCCTAAGGCTTATACAGGGACCCCTGCATACATCAGAGGGGATGCATGTTGCCCCCCGCCCGCCCCCTACACTCCCTACCACCCCACCCCCTGCCCCCTACACCCCCTCCCTGGCAGGGAGGGGCCAGGGGTGGGT